GGTGGGGGTGAGTCGATTACACAGTAAATGTATCTACGAAACACAAAATGAAACAGCTTACGAAAGAAAGATATTGGCATAATAAATTGTCGTCTAATATAAAGCCCAAAAAGGTTAAACGGGCTTCTTATCCAACCAAAAAGGCCCATTTATCATCAAAGGTCTTCTTCCTCCAATCCAAGGCTCGCTCGAGTAACTTGGATTTGCAGAGGATGGTGGTCGTTTCTCCACGGCTGCTCTCAAATGGTTCAGGTCACTATTCTCTCCACTGCCTTCTTCTATACTTTCTCATCTTAATCATCGCTGCTTAGTCTTCAATTTTTTTTTGATTCATAGGTTTAATCCGATTGCCTCATCGCCGGATTCAGAGACGCGATGGGTTCGGCCCCAGTAGCTTCAAGTTTTCTGGGGATTCGGTAATTTCATCTTTCCATGAGCTGGTTAAGACAACGGAATCAGCTCACGCAGCTACCTTACATTTGTATGTTTTCCTTCTTGTAGAGTCTCAATGGGAGAGTTAGCTATACGCCACATGTGGGTGCCTCTCGCACCGTATCTGTACGTTTCGCTCGTCAAAGTCCCAGCTTCCATGAAGACCTACCCGAAGCTCCCTTATGGTTGAGCCTTCTTAGGGACATTGTCTGGTATACACAATCAAGCTTTAATCTTTCCGTAGTGTGTAGATTTTCAAATGTTTTATTGATTTCTTTCAAAAGGAGCACAAGATCTCTCTTCTCTTTTATGGCTGAGCAACCGAGTCAGCTTAAATACATAGAGTGGCCAAGTTTTACAACCACGGTATGTGCATACCAAGTCTTTCTTGTTACGTATGAGAGATAGACAGACTGGAGTTTGTGCCTGAAACTTTGTGTTTGTTTTGGGAACAACAGCTCAAGACAGCCACACTGAGTCTCTTTCTTGTAGCTGTCTTCATTGTTGCGCTATCATCGGTGGACTCTGCTCTTTGTTACATATTGACTTTGATCTTGAGGAAAGCCCCATGAAGAGGAAGGCAACTATATTGTCATTTGTCATAGAGTTTGTAGCCTGCAAAGGCCAATGTTGGTGTAGGAACAACGGATTGGATCAAAGTCTCTTTTAGTCTTCTTAGATGTACCCACAAATAATCAAAGTTGAGCGAAATCAAACACTGTTCTATAGTTTGATCTAAGATTAGATAATGGCATAAGAGCATACATATATAGATCTCGCTGAAATTCTGAGACCATAATAAGGTGCAAAACACAAGGCATAACAGACAGTAAACGGTCCGATCAACATGTTGGCTTACAAGTAAGAACAACATGAGATTCTGAGAATATACAGCAGAGGATAACTGAATCTACTTGAGAACAACTGCAGCATTCCTTATGGACAGATACTGATGGACTTGCTCGGTAGAGAGTGACCTTACAGTCTTGAAAACATCTGCATTTGCATACCGCAGATTTGTTCTTGGGTCAACATATGGTGCCTGTCACAATCCAAACCACAATGTCAAGTGATTAGAAAACAAGAACCCCTTGTGATCCATATCTTGGAGCTTTGCGTACCTCATATCCAGTTATATCGCAGATTCTCTTGCAGGGTTGATTGGATGGAGGTGACTCAATGTTAATATCTGCACAAAAAGAAGATTGATCTCTAGGATAAAAGGC